GCGTTCGGGGTCCCCACCCCCTCCCCTCTCCGCTGTGGCCCCGGGGCTGTGACGGGACATCGCAGCCCGCCGCCTCCTGACTCGGGACTGCCCGCACGTGGGCACCGGCCGGAGGGGCCCGTCAAGTGGCCGGACGGATGGCAGGGCTCCTTTGCCTGCACTTGTGGGGACAGGCCTCCTACGCACGTAGCACAGGCAAGCACGGAAGCCTGGACACAGTCCCCAACGGGCAGGTCGCATGGAAGGGCCTCGTGGGGAGCTCAGGGAAGGCGCAGGGGGCTGCTGGGGGCAGCCAGCACCTGCCGGGCGCCGAGGCACCTGTGGGCAGGGGGGGCGCATTGTCTCAGGACTTGGCACGACTCCACGTGACACTCGCTTTCATCAGCACTTTACAGAAGAAGCGGCCACTAGCTCAGTGGGTAATGGGCAGGCTGGCTTTCGGAGGACATCTCCTGGGGCTGGTTATTTCCCGCAGCCTCACGCTGCCTCTGCCCTGTTGGGCTGCGTGGCCTCTAGGATGGGCAGACATGGAGGACGAGCGCCCAGGCCTGGGCAGCTGCCCACTGAGCTCCCAGAGAAGGCTCCTCTCACGGGGGACAGCCACCCTTGACACATGGCCACAGTGTTTTTCACCCAAACAGGGGTTACTTCAGATTTGATTCGTGCAAAAGGTAAGAGGATGACAGGAAACCACATGCAGTAGGGACAAGGTGTGAGTCATGACGCATCAGAGTCAGCCGGGCAGACTTAGGGTTTAAATAGAGAATTTAGCACGGAGAGCCTAAAATTAAACTCAAAATTATACCCATCTTCAACATCCTTGCCAAAGGTGGGTGTGACTTGCTGGGCACAAGGAGATATGTCGCATGGCCACAGACCTATGTCAAAAATGGGGAAACAAATAAACATTTCGGCATAATATGTTGCCATGGCTTGACTTGGGGCGAGACATTGAACTTCAGTTTCTCGGTTCCTGCATTTGTCAATTGGGAATTATCACTCGTATATCACATGAACGACGTGATGCTCCAGTTAAGTGCTACAAATTCATGTGACCTTTTGAGAACTTATTCTGTGGATTTCACTTTCACAATTAGGCTAACTAGACCACATACATTTTTTTTTCCCAAATAAAACCTTTTTCTACCTAAGAAGTTACCAAACTGCAAAGTCTGGGAAAAAAACAAAAATTTTGTGAACTAAAAACCACTTCTGCTCCAGATGTTACTACATTTCGCTAACTTCTCCTTTCATTATAATTAATTCTTCTCCAAAGAAAGGACCCCTACCTGGCATGCCTACATCAGGACTTTTTAATTTGTGGTTGAGAAAAAGTTAATACGTGGTTTTCCCCATCCATTTGTTGGGATTTAAGTGACAGTCATACACCTTTGGGCTGCGTGGCCTCTAGGATGGGCAGACATGGAGGACGAGCGCCCAGGCCTGGGCAGCTGCCCACTGAGCTCCCAGAGAAGGCTCCTCTCACGGGGGACAGCCACCCTTGACACATGGCCACAGTGTTTTTCACCCAAACAGGGGTTACTTCAGATTTGATTCGTGCAAAAGGTAAGAGGATGACAGGAAACCACATGCAGTAGGGACAAGGTGTGAGTCATGACGCATCAGAGTCAGCCGGGCAGACTTAAGGTTTAAATAGAGAATTTAGCACGGAGAGCCTAAAATTAAACTCAAAATTATACCCATCTTCAACATCCTTGCCAAAGGTGGGTGTGACTTGCTGGGCACAAGGAGATATGTCGCATGGCCACAGACCTATGTCAAAAATGGGGAAACAAATAAACATTTCGGCATAATATGTTGCCATGGCTTGACTTGGGGCGAGACATTGAACTTCAGTTTCTCGGTTCCTGCATTTGTCAATTGGGAATTATCACTCGTATATCACATGAACGACGTGATGCTCCAGTTAAGTGCTACAAATTCATGTGACCTTTTGAGAACTTATTCTGTGGATTTCACTTTCACAATTAGGCTAACTAGACCACATACATTTTTTTTTCCCAAATAAAACCTTTTTCTACCTAAGAAGTTACCAAACTGCAAAGTCTGGGAAAAAAACAAAAATTTTGTGAACTAAAAACCACTTCTGCTCCAGATGTTACTACATTTCGCTAACTTCTCCTTTCATTATAATTAATTCTTCTCCAAAGAAAGGACCCCTACCTGGCATGCCTACATCAGGACTTTTTAATTTGTGGTTGAGAAAAAGTTAATACGTGGTTTTCCCCATCCATTTGTTGGGATTTAAGTGACAGTCATACACCTTCATAATATAAAATTGCTCTGTTTTTGTTTTTTTTTTTCAATTTAAGTATATGAAGGGAAAATACTACATATGCACACACCAAGCAAATCTTTTAAAAATAGCTTTCAAGGTGACCATAATCAAAAGATTCATTTATTTATTCTGATATTACTAAGTAAAAGGGCTACAAACACAT